GTAATATTAATCCATGAACTGGCTTTTTCCCGCCAAGTAAGCAAGTTTAAGAATAGGTATTTATCTCTTTTTACACGGTTAAAATTAGCCTATTTCTGAGTGGTCGAAGAAGCTAGAACCGCGACTGTCAAGTCCGTGATCGAGGGTTCGAATATCAAGTGCGATAGAGTTTTTATTTTATCGTAGGTATAGTAAATGCTCCGACAGAAAAGAGATAATACTTACGGACACAAAAATCCGATCAATCTTATTATACCTTCTGCTATCGGGGGTGTCCATCTGTCCAACAACATGATGTCTGTTATAAACGTTCTCCTGTCCACAAAAAGAAAGCTCTCGTAAATTCGGCAGAAACATTGGAAATTCACGGATGCAGGCTGGAATTCAAACGGTCGGAATACTCGCCTGCGGCACCGAATAAACTGAGAAACCTAGCCCGGCAGAAATACGCTTCAAGACTCCACAAAGTATACAAATTTTTGACCAGTTTCAAACTCGGAATGCATCTGTGCATGTCCGTATTTGCATCTGTCCATATGTCCGTCTACGCAACTGTCTAGTATCTGTGATAAACATTCTTAGCTTCGCAAAAATCAGGATATCGTCTACAAACTTGAAAATGACCGAAACCAATCAAAGGACAACGCTTACACAAAAAGCGTTCATAGGCTTATACAAAAATGACTGTAACCCCTTTGCTTTGGGCGTAAATTTCAATCTTTATTCTAAGAATAGCAAGATCCACCGCGCCCATCCAGTAGTATAGAATATGAATATTTAATTCTTCTTCTTCTTAATAAATTCTCTTGCTTGTTTTCCTACTCGTTTATTTATTTGTTTAACTCATCTTTTATATGTGTAGCGACTCGGGTACCCACAAATGATTATAAATCGACAGGAAGACAGCAGGATATGATGTCTAGAAAACTTGTGATCATTCTTCTTAATTAATTTCCAATTCCCTCGAAGATACTCTTTCTATTCCATCATGAAATTTTCTAATTCCTTTTAAAAATGCAATTAAAAAAGAAAAAAAAAAATTCCCAACAACTATGTAAATCAAGGGCGGAGTGCACTTTGAAGAATTTTGAATTCTTAACTTAAACTGATGACATTTACATAGCCATGCATATGTATGTACGCTTGGATGTGCATATGTATTGATGTATGTATATATATGCGGTTTGCTGCAGTCTCTGTTCATTAGAATTCGTTCTTAGTTTTCATTTTTACTTTATCCAGATGATCATACATTAAGTTTTCCACTTTCTTCAAGCTTCATCACCTTACCTACGTACACATATTGTGCATCAATGCGTTTACTTTTGAAAATCCCGTCTTATGATAGTTGTTGTTTGCTGCCAAAGTTTAGCCATAATCTACTGATAGATAAGCAATTGTGTTGTTTTTGTTTTTAGAAATCAACTTGAAAATCTTTTGTTTGTTGAGTATTTCTTTTTATTTTTTCTCTATGCTTTAGGTTTCTTCTGCCAAATAGTAGATTTATGGTTTTTTTATTGCGTACGTAGTTGTAAGGCCTTTCTTGGTTTTCTTTTTTCTTTTTTGTTTTTCTTCTTTTTGTTCACTAGGATACCTATATAAAATATAAGAAAAGTTGTAAGAGTTTTTTCAATATCGAAATAGAAAACGTGTGTAGGCACGCACCTAATAGATTTCAGATACTTTGATGAAGTCAGTTATATATATGTACACGTAACAGACATAAATTGAGATGTTAACATATGTTGTAGGTAGTTGGAAAAAAGGAAAAAAAAAAGAGAAAAATTTTTCATTCGTTAACCCAGAAATAAATTTTAAATTGACTAACGAACTGATGTTGAATAATTATTAAATTCTATCCGGAAAGTTTTTAATTCACTTTAAGATATTCTTTATTTACTTATACCATATACGATAGCTATTAACTTGAAGTGTTTAAATTACAAAAATATTGTTGTAAAAATAAGTTCTCTATGCTGAAATTTGTTTTCTTTTACCTGACGCGTTAGTTTCTTTCGAAATTTTTGCATTTAGGTAGGCTTGACATTGTTACTTATGGGGTGTTTGCAAGTAAACCCAACTCTTTTTTTACACGGTAGATATCTTCCTTAGAAAGCCGTGCGAAAAAATCATGTAATAAAATACATGTGACATATGGTAAATTTGGTAATATATGCCACAACTTTAAAAATCGTGTAAAATGAAAAACCGTGCAAAAAAACAAAACTGAAACACATATTACGCATATTTACAAAACAAAAACAATTCATTTTCATTCCAAAAAAATTAAATTAAAATTATTGTATAGTGAAAATTCAGTCCATAAGTATTACATATAAAAATTGAAATTGAGATTAAAAGTAAAAACCAATTTTGCAGCTGTTCATAGCTACTTGATAACAAACGTGCACGTTTATTAGGGACTGAACCAATAGTGCTATCCTCAGTAAATATACCTAGTATGCCGGATTTGTGGCACAACTGTCGGGTTTGAGGAAAATGGCTTTGGTGGTTTCTTGTTATTATAAAGCCTGCTTTTTTGGTTTCTCAAGTTGTTTGTATAATTCTTGATGTCCAGCTACACAAAGCTTCAAAATACCTGGTATTTTTATGCGCGCTCCATCTCAGGATCAAGAGTAACAAAATTATTCTTCCGCATTTGTTATAAATTTCAAGCCCTCGCGATCTAAATCAGCTCTTAATAACTGGACTTGATCTCTGACTTTTACTGTGTACATAACTTTCTATGAGACATAGCCAAAATTAGAAATAAAAAGGAGAAATGTTTTCTTGAATTCGTGGGAAAAAAGTATGTTTGCTCTCATTAATGAATCATGTTGCTTCTAACTCGTGTAAAAAAGACCGTGTAAAAAAAGAGTTGGGTGTAGTCGTGCAGTAAACAACTAAATGTAATGGATCTCAACGAGCCCGCACTGCATGCTATTCTATCACCAATTGGACAAAAATTCATTTCAAGGTGCGAAATTAATTAAATTGACTTAGAGTAAAATAGGCGTGAAATGAGTCAAAGTTGCGAACCCAAAACAATCTAGTTTGGAAAATTTTGTCCACGTGGGACCCCATTCCATATTAAATTTCTCATAGCAAGTAAGCCCTTCAAGAGAAAGTCTAATTTTTGATATTTCAAATAAGTTAACAGTAGGTTATTTGCATCAACGTAGATCTACGGTTCTTAGGCCTCAGCAAGGGTTACCATGAAAAGCAAATCCTTATAAGAGAAAGCTTGATCTTCGGTTTTTTATCACGGAAACTGAAAACTTGGATCTCGTCATGTAGAGTTTTTGGGGATCTTCCTTATGGTCGACCTTACCGGGTTTTATATTACAGACTTGCCAGGTATTTGCGGAAGACAAAGTCAGTTAGAAAAGAAAGTCGCAAAGAAAGGTTACGTTAAGAACGCTGTCAAACTTAGTAAACTGTAAATAATTCTCCCCTTATAGAAATTGGTTGTAAATAAAACCACGATCTAGTGATAGAAACCGTATCAAGAAAAGCAACTTTCGTAGCAATATATATACATATGATAATCCACAAAGTTGTACTTAGAAAAATATTTGTTCACTTTTCAATAGAGATGGTCGTATATCTGTTCTCCATCAATTTGCTTCCCGGAGTGTCAAACTTAAACTGTCTCTTCTATGCTTTGAATGACGGGTACTTACAAAACCTTACAAATATTTCTCGTCCACAACTTTGTTTTCAATCTATTCATTTGGTACCTGACGGGTTTCATAAAGTTCTTAGTGTTTTTTGTAACAAAAATTGCAACGAACCGTTACTTCTCGTGAACCCATTTTCATTTGTGATTCGTTATCAGCAAATTTTTCATCATCTTTTTGGGGGTACCTGATAAAACATTTAAAATGATTATTTTCTTCCATAGCTGTTACATAGCTATTTGTTAACGGCAGATAAGTCTGAAACTAAAGTTTGCTATTAATATTGACAAAAGTCGCTTTTAAATTTTAGGTGAAAATTGTTTCTGCTTCGCCACACATCACATTTCTACTTAGCAAGCAGATTAGAAACATTACAGTCAGCCACGGCCTACCATTGAATATTATACACTAACCTACATCCACTTTTGAAAATATGGCAAAGTGGCAAGTGGTCGAAAAAGTGGTCCGACGTGAACCATTCCCAATAGCGTTCGTTCTTGGGCCAAAATATGTCAATGTACCAAATTTCGTCTAAATGTCTCAAAATTTACGATCTTTAGGTTAATAAGACGAAACAAAAAAACTAATGGACAGACGGACAGACAAACTTACAATCGCTTTCTAAATCGATCCGTAAAATTAAAGATTGGCCTATCTCAAATCCTGCTAGATCTTGCTTATATCCGCACAAGTTTAACATATCCCTGCAGAGTGCAAGCCCAAGGTAATGGATATCCCAGACTAGCTGTAGTTAGTTTTCAATTACTTTATTTTTTTGTGGACCTTGCACGCGTTCATCTTCAAAGTGAATACTGATCCAAGAGTTGGATGCGGGAACGGATGCCCATTTCTATAGCTTCCTCTTCGTATAAAGAGGTATACGTTATAAGACTTCGATAGTCAATTCTATATGTTACAGAAGAAACGATAAATTTAATAATAAATCTAATTTTTCTATCATTTCAATATATATGTAAACGAATGTTTACTCGAAAGCAAAAAAAAAAACCAAAAAAAAAGCAAACCGTTAAGTATTTCTAAGATCTCACTTAAATATCATCAATCATTTCCGTTGCTTAGATTTCTTCTTCCGTAAATAATGATTTGCGGTGAAAAAGGGAAAAAAAAATTTCAAATACTTTCTGTGATAACTTCATTTTTTTTCTATTTGCTCCATAATGCTTCATTAAACTTAAATACACGCTACATAGACAACATATTGAGTTTCTCTAGTTTAACTGGATTTTTCTTTCTTTTACTTTTCTTCCATTCATTTCTTGTTTTCTTTTTTTTTTTTTTTACTTTTACTTTTCTTTTCAGGTATCAGGATATCTTAAAGATACCGACATCACTATCACAATTTTCAACATCGTTGGGTCCCATTGTTGATGGCCATGTTATACCCGATCAACCGTATAAAGTAATGGGACAATATACAGAACATTTTAGTCGGTACGTAAAGTGGTAGTTAGAACAGAATAAATAAATAAATAAATAAAAAAAAGGGTTACTTGCCTTTCATTTTCAAACTGTCGGTAGATAAGTTTTATGACAGCAAGCGACTTTTCCTAGCATTTAATTATCAAATCCTTAATTAAATTATGTTGTTTATATTTAGAATTCGAAGAATCCTTTTAAAAGTTTTCAAATTATTCGAACAAATGTCTTGTTTACGGTTTATTGTTGCCTCGAATTTAATTGAAAGATTTAAAGATTTTATTGCAATTGTTGTCGTGAATTTTCCTAAAAAAATTATCCATTTGATAAGTGCTTGGGGAGAAGAAAAAAAAATGAATTGGTTAAGCACATTGGTTACATTAAATTAAAACAAATTCCCTAAAAGCACGCAAAATGTAAGTAATCCTTGTTTCTTGGAGTTCACTGAACTTTGTCGAGCTGGTTTCACGCTTTTAATACTTTAATGTAAAATATGAAGAAATGGTTTTTAAAAAAAGCTCACAATATATCTCCAAGAACTTGTGCACAAAATACAAAAGAAGAAATAAACAGTTGGAAGGGCTTGCATACAGACGGATCCTATTAAAGAAAATTATTAGAAAGTAAGTAAACAACAAAGAGCAAAAGCTCTTGCTCACTGCCTGCAGATGGTAAATGCTTATCGAGGCACTTAGAAGGAAAGCTAGTGGATGTATGAAGAAATCTGAATAAATTGACAAATGCGAGTAGAGAATCTGGAAACAGAGACTTCAATTATACGAAGGCATTTAAAGAGAGGGAACAAAATGAGAAGTACCTGTTCAGCTATCTGTCTGTCCGTTTGTCAGCCCTTTTCTCTGCTTATTCATCTGTCTATTTACCCCCTTACTCATACATCTGCCTCTTTCACTGCCTGTCGATTAGCCTATCTGCTCGTCTATCCGTCCTAGCCGTCTGTCGGCTTACTTCTCTACCGGCCTGTATGCCTGTAAGTGCCCATGTGACCATCTATCTGACGTTTGCTTGAGCGTCTTATTATTTTTAAGCGTATTCGCCTTATATATTTAAGCGTATTCACCTTAGAACCTGTGCTAGGTTATTCTTGATAACTATTCGTTCTTTTTTTGCCCTATCAACATCCGCATGGCTGTTCTACCTTTAGCTGTTCCCTTTAGTTATTTAGCAAAGGTCTGTTCGTCTTCCCTGCTTATATTTCTATTCGTTTGCCCGTTCAAGTCTATCATCCTATTTGTTAACTCCTTCGATTATCGTATCTTTTCATGCTCTGCTTCTCGATCGATTGTCCGCTCACGGCCCACGGTGTTGTCCTTCTAGCCATCCATCTGCCCGCCGGCTTTTTTATCTTGCCGATAAGCCCTTTTTTATCTGTGAAGCTACTCGTATGTACACTCGTCTATCCATTTGTCTTCTCCTTTTCGTTGGTCTGCTGCTCTGCCCAGCTTTATATTCAATTATCTTTCTACAGCTCTATTTAAGTATAATTTTTCCTTTGCTCCTATCTCTAGCTTTGTACAGTTTTGTACTTGGCCGTTTAATTGTTCATCTGCTCAATGGTCTATGAGTTCGTTTGCCACGCTATCAGCACTTTCCTATATGTCTGCTCATTCACCTGGTCGCCCATGCGTTTACCCATCTGACATTTGCCCACATTTCCACTTATTGTTCGCTTATCCATCGAGCTTAAAACACTTCATTGCCACAAGTTAGTATAAGAAAGCAATCAATTTCTACGGCAGGCCTTTCTAACTTAAAAGAAAGAAAAGGTATGACATCTGAAGAGTCATAGGACAATGAGTTGCAATAGCTCGTAAGGAAAATAATGCAATGGTTAAGTTCATGCTCTGCTTCCTATACTTGGAAATTTGTCGTTTTCCTTTGAATACTTTCTATAGATAAGGCTTAAGGCAAAGAGAGAGAAGTAGAGATGTAAGGTTCTCAATATGCTTTTTCCAAAGTAGGATGAATATCAGCTAATTCGACCTGAGCTACATAAAGCTACTCTTGGTTTATTTTTAAAATTCTTTTTTTTTTCGCTTCTCCCTAATGCGCTTAACAGCGAACATAGATAGTGATTGCTCTAATACCTTTACAATGTTCAAACATTATTAAGGATTAAAATGTATTGAAGGACTTCAAATTTACTCCTCCTCTGTATCTGTGCAAGTAAAAAAAAAAAAAAAAAAACAAGGAGGAAAAAATTAGTAAAAATCCTTTTAACATGTTAAACATACACAAACGCATATATGAAGAGCTTCGCGTCATTTTTTTTTTTTTTTTTTCATTTTTCGTTTTTGCTCCATTACCATAATAACCATTTATTATCCATATGTATATAGCTTAACATATAGAGAGAGATACGTTGTCGAAAAGTTTTTCTCTACAAAACGTATCTCCGTATGTGTGGGCATGTATATGCATACATATACAAGTACGATATTGTAAAATATATTTTTCCGTTTAACTATTCCATCTATCCATTGCAGGTATGATTTATTATTTGGTATCACCGAATCGGAATCATATCATTCGTTAGGTGTTGCAATTTTAGAGGAGGGATTACGTGAAAATGAACGCGATAATTTATTGCGTTTCTATATGCAAAGTCGCTTTGATATACGTCCCGATTTGGCGTTGGCGGCCACATTAAAAAAGTAAGTGGAATTTATAGCTAGACGTTCTACAAACTATTTTCAAATTTCATCATAGTTTTATGCATGCGTATCCTCACTAACGAACTTACTTATTTTCCCTTCTACCCACCGACCACCACCGATGTATCCATCTAACTATCTATCTATCTATCTATCTATTTAACTACCTGTCTACCCGGGTGTGTGGTTATGCGAACATGAAAGCTTTGTCTGCCTTTCATTTTAGCCGTAATATCATTTTGCTTTATTTACTTGTTTCATTCATTGGAGATATTTTGGATGAATACTTTTGTAGCTTTCCTCTGTCTGCTCTCATCTATCATAAGTAACGGTTTTTAGTTTATTTTGTAATTTATTTGTTTTTATCATCATAATACATTTTATGTTCGTTAGTTCATGTTTATGACGTAACAAATTACATGTCTATGCGTGTTACTAATTTTCACTCACTATCTACGCCGCCCTCCATCCAGGCTATTGATATGTTTCTATTCTATAAAAAGCATCTGGATTTGTCATAAAGCATTACATATTACACACACGCGTTTATCATCATTATTATTATTATATAAGCTTGGTAGGGAGAAGAAGAAGAAGAAGAAGAGAAAAAAAAGACAATATAAAATAATAAAAGGTGGGATTTACTGCAATTATTTCTTCATCTTCTTGTCGTGTGCGTGCAAATGTTTTCAAAACTGCATAATTTTACATTAAGTATTCTTTACTCGTTTCTTTCCTCCCTCTCTCTCCACCACCTTTCTTTGCCGTTTTTGTTGAGATTAAAGTGATATTTAACTGTAATTATGAAATATTATTCAAATGAGTTTCTTTTGCCATTTCAAAGCTTAACGAATAATAATAATAGTAATTAAGATACTGCTGACGTGTGCACACACACAGACACACTCACACACACACATATATATATATATATAAATATATATATATACATATATATATTGCAATTTATTATATTAGTGAGGAAGAAAAAAACTACCTGTATTCCGGACTGCATGTCCGTTATATATATATATATATATATATATGTATATATAAAAGAAAACTGGTTTTTGCGAGTGAAAATAACCTCAAAAAAAATAACAGGTAAGAAAATTATATTCGGTCGTGACCGAATCTTTTGTACACATCATCTTAATTTTTGCTAACGCGAGAATGTCTGCCACAGATACACACACATTTACCCAAACGTATGACATATGAACAGGCGGAAGGATGGACTCGAAATTTGTAATGTTTGTGGTAAACATTCGCCTTTACCGCCTACGAATTCGCAATAGAATTTCAAAATGATGCTATACATTTGGCCAGATGGATATATGGACGGACGGAAAGATGGAACCATATGTGTAGTGTCTGTGGTAAACATTTCCCATTCGCAAGTCACCGCCTACGAATTCGCAATAGAATTTGAAAACGATACTGTACATGTGACTAGATGGACATGTATGTATTGTCTGTGGTAAACATTTCCCATTCGTAAGACTGAAGTTACCGCCTACAAATTTGCAATAGAATTTGAAAATGACCCAAATTTCTCGAAGAACAAATCTAAAACCCCCACATGTCTATGCAACAAAATCTGGAATCAACTCGGTGATGAGTCATCATATTTTTACTTGTTTAAAAACTTTTTTCTTTTGATGGGAAATCATGTCCAACTTATTTAGGCGGTTGGAGTCACTGACGTCAGTTACCTGTAGATTTACAGTTAATTGCTTTTGCATCAATTCTTCGCTGTTCCCTCATATGTTTATATATACATTATGAGCTCTCGAAATTAATTTCTTAAAGCCCTTGAAAGCGGAAATCACTAAAATCGTCTTTAGCGTTAACGTCTTTATCCACTACGAAAGCATCTTCCACTTCTAGCTTAAGGACTAACATCGATTAAATCCAATTATACTTTTAGTGCAATACGGTTAACAGATGATCCACAGTTCTATTCAACCGATAAAGTGCTGATTGCGATACATCTGAGTATCCTATGACTGATTGTTAAACAGCTGATGCTTGATTATCGAAGTCTAAAAGCATAGTAGTTTTGCAGTATGAAAAAAAATCTCTTCAGAAATTTTTTATTATTATTTTTCTTTTATGGCGAGAAAAAATTACTTCATTCTTTGTTTTATTACGATTTGTTCATTTTATATTGATAGAAAATCAAAAAAAAAAAAAAAATTATAGAAGAGAGAGTATGGAAAACAATAAAAAAAAAAATACACAAAAAACTATGGCGTCCTCCACATTTGTGGCCGCCGAATGTTAATAATAATTCATGAATGAAATGATTTCATATATGCCGGATATACCTCGGACGTACGCATATGTGTACGTTCAGAAATTTCTCATAAAATAAAAAACGTTGAAGAGGAAATTTTTTCTTTAAAATTTTTATAAATTAATCAAATTAAATTTGTGCAATAAATATGATATTATTTGTTTTTATTAAATTTTAACGATTTGTTCAAATGGTCCAACAACACTGACAATCGAAAAACTATTCTACATTATTTTCATATTCTAACCGTAAATAATGTTATCAGCTCAGTCAAATCGTAAGATTTTCATTTTTCTGGTTGTGACATTTTGTAGTAAATAAATTATTAGCAAATGCTCCTTTTTTTTGGTCCTTTTTACACCGTACACCATTTACGGTACAAGAGTGCATTAAGTTTGTGCGGATATATGCAACACTCATATGGTCTCGAGGTGGACTAATCTTTTCAATTTCTAAATCAATGTAGACTTGTTTGTCCGTCCGTCTGATTAATTGGGTTGAAACTACAGTTTGCAATTTTTGAAACAATATGATGAAATTTGCTACACCGACTTCTCTCGACCCAAGAAGGAACGTTGATGAAAATGGTTCAAATCGAACCAAGTTTTTGATAAAAAATTGCAATTCTCAGAAGTTTCAACAAAACTCGCTGTGTAATAGCATTTTGATGTTCAAAAATGGTACGCAAAATTTGGTTCGACTGGGTGAAATTTTTGAACCCCCTATATAACCGTTTCTAGTAAAACTGAATCTTTATATTGTAAAAAAGTATAATTTTCAATACTTTATGGTGAAAGCTAGTTCGTAATAGTAAATTGATAAAGAAATTTATCTTTACGAATTCGGATTACCTAGATCTATTTTTTGGATACCATTGCGGGTACGGATTCCCATTACCTGTAATCTCTTATATGCGGAAAAGCCGTAATTGTTAAAGTTTTATGATGAAAATTTCTTCATGGTGGCAATTTTGCATAAAAATTAATTGGACCATATTTGAACCACATAGGTCTGATCTTTAGACCCCACTCTATATAAAATTTCTCATGAATAGTAAGACCTTTCGAAATATTTTGATATTTTATGTTGAAAATTGGTCAATAACAATTGAGCCTGTATATTAACGATAGCTTGGTTGGATCACACAGGTCTATTTTTTAGATCCTAATATGTACCGGAATTATCGTAAAAAGCAACGCTTTGTATGGGCAAAATTTCTAATTTCTAGTTTTTTGTGATGGATAATAAAAAAATTACTAAATATTTATGAAGTAAATTAAGTTTTGATAAATTTGGATCACACTATGTGATATTGGGGGCAGTGTCCCAAAAAATGCGCCCTTCCATTCAAAAATAATATGGAATTTTTGGTGTTTTGCCAGAAAAATGAGCGAATAAGAGAAATGATGTAGGGTATCTAACACTAACACTGCCTTACTATAATGTTCTTATTTGTTTTTTATGGGTGTTATTATACTTTACACTACTTGACTATGTTAACTTTGTGCGGTAGTGTGCAACATATAGAAGAATTTGAAATGTAGCCACGTTTTAATATATCGATCTATCGAGAAAATGATTCTAAGCTTATCTCTCTTGTCTGTCTTGTTATCTTGTTTTCTGCCTGCAGCCAACTGTCAAGTCTGAGTAGTTTACGGACGGTTTTGACGATATCGCTTGATCCTTTACCCGATGTTTACTCGAATTTTCGCTTGTGTGCAAGTCATTTGCATAGATTGAAGTTTCATTTTCTTTTATGATGGATTCCGTTCTTGGGTTCTGAGGTTGAGTACTTGCGGAAAAAGCTCTGTAAACTCTTCGCACAGCAGGAACCTCTAAAGCCTGTCTTCTTCTCAAAGTTACTCAAGATGAAGAATTGTTTTA